ATATTGTTGGGTTTATTTTGGGGTACGCTTTTCACGCGTTATGAAAATAATCAAAACGAAAACCGATCCAATATCGATTTTGCGGTTATAACAAAGAGCTTAAGCTCTTTGTCATAACAGCCGCATGATATATTTATACCCGTAAAACCATATTTTTAATTCCAATTGCGACAAATTTTGAAATCTGATGCATTTGCTCAGTCTAAAAGTTTTGTGGTTTAAGATGTATGTAGCGACATCTGTATACTCTTCAATTTCTTCGGTTTTGTAGTGAGAGCTTATTTATATTTATACTTACTCACCCCACTTTACGCCTAAATTACATCAACTTTTGGTTCGCGCTTCAGGGAATATAAATCTTAAATAATCAAATACGAATATTTAGCAATTGTCATGTAACGGCAGAAGCTGAAAATATCATATCGGAATGAGTTAAAAAATCTTATAATGAGATCAGTACTATAAACTAAAACCTTGTTTTTCATCTGATCAATAAAATATGGTCTATGTTCGGGAACAATATAATTTTTTGTTTGTAATAAAGATTACAATATCGGTCCAGTTTTAGTTGGTCAAGTTTTATCTCATTATAAGAAAATACGAGACTAATCTAACTTGTTACATAGGTACCACATTCGCATAATAACTTGTACAGATAGAATGCATAATAGGTATATTTGCTGTTATCTTAATTGTAATCACAAGTGCAGCATACACGTATGCTACGAGATGTGAGATCAAATTAAAAATACTACTACATGTTGCGAACACAGCGGTGAGTTCGTATCACATTAATGCATCCGTGTGGTCTAATTTAACTATAAAAGTGTGTGCCTAGACCGCCCCTAGTGTGATCAAAGGGGCCACAGATACGGTAACGTCTAGAAGGCTATTAACGTTGAATTTGAAACATATGAGAAATGAATGGCAAATCAGTTGCATGGACAGCGAAACGGTTAACTTTGCCATTTGATATTGTGGACTTGTTTGAAAGTGTTCTGTAGGTAAGTAGGTTTACTTTGCGTCCGAAAACTTATTGTGAAATGGACAAATAGAATAACAACACAGTTTTAGTCGTGTAATATTCCATGACATCCCGTAATAAGACTTGTCGGGCGTTTAATTTACTATAGTTTTGCTAAGTCTTGCTTGGGTTTCATTTATTCTACATTTTTTTTATGTGAAAAGTTGTCAAGCGTGCAGACGGTTCACCTGATGATAAGTGAATACCGCCGCCCATAGACATCTGCTACACCCGAGGGTTGCAGATTCGTTGACAACCTTTTGAAAATTGGGCTCCGGCCACCTCACTCTCTTCACTTTACGCCGGTCTTCTGTGAGGTCCTAGTACTTACCTGGACGAGCCTGCCCATTCGTGCAACAGCTGATGCGCGGCTGCTGCGTGGCCCTACCACCGTAAAATGCATGTTGTTAAAGCTAGAGTTTGCTGGGGCTCCCATACAACAGACATGATTTTTTTGCAGTTTTTATAGATAATGGTATGGCACTTCGTCGCCCAAGTGCGACGCGAGTCCGAGTCGTACTTGGGCGTCTTTTTTTTTAACTTATAATGGTATCTAACAGTCTTTACTGAAAAAATTTAAAATGAGAGCGCCTCTTAAATATTTAGTGTTTGTTTTTATAGCGGCAACAGAAATACATCATCTGTGAACATTGCAACTGTCTATCACGGTTCATGAGAGCTGGTTTCAGACGGACAGACAGACAGACAGCGGAGTCTTAGTAATAGGGCCCCGTTTTACCCTTTGGGTACGGAACCCTTAAAATGACTGTCGATAGATGAAATGTTTATATCTTATTGCGATGAATAAATAATTTTATTTTGATTTGATCTATTGATTTAAGTTAAATACCAAATACTGGTGTTTTCTGCATTCATTTTTATGTTTCGTTACAGATATTTCCTAATCAATAATTGTGAATAAACGCGAATAATTAAATTCTAAGTAAGCCGTATATTTTACGTCAAGATCGCAGTCCGCCAAGCCGAATGGCATCATCTAAAACACAAACGAAATTAATTATTCAAAACGAACGTTTTGATTGCTCGATTGACAGACTCGAAATTGGGACCGGGCCGTTTTGATGTGAACACAGATTGATCGGGTAACTTTATGGTACGATTCCAGCTTTATTGTTAATTGGAAATTGCTATGCCATTATGGGCGGAAGGTCTGTTTGCCTTGAATCACGACGCCTGGGCTGTGTCGTTAAATTCACCACTGGGAGGGACTTTCCCCTGTTATATAGCTTAGTAACAAATTACTGCTTGGTTAGGGTGAACAGATGCAAGATTATTGAGTTTCTTTTTCTCAGTCTGCACCATAGCCTGTTGTCGCTAAACAGGCAACGTAGCTGAAACGATGAAATCATTTTGTGTACACGTGACATGATTCAAACTTGAAATTATGTGGTATTGTATTGTTTAAATGTCTAGTTGTCTAGTTATGTATAAGGTTTTCTATTTAACAACTAAAGTGATGTGCAATCTAAATAGAATAGTTATAGTCTAACACGCAAGTACGTGTCGTGGATTCGATTCCCTCAAGAGACAACTATTTGCATGACCCACAGATAATTGTTTTATATCTGGGTGTTTGCACACGTGAAATCCTACTATATCCTTACTTCCTTATAAATATTATAAAGGCGAAAGTTTGTATGTATGGATGGATGTTTGTTATTCTTTCACGCAAACACTACTGAATGGATTTTAATTAAACTTTACAATAATATAGCTTATACATCAGAATAAGACATAGGCAATAATTTATATAAGTAAATATTTTATGTATATCTGTCTTCCTGTCTGAATGTTACGCTTTCAGCCTATTCTACGCAGACGTAGTCGCGGGCAGCAGCTAGTTTATTATATTTTTATGTGAGTAAGTGGTAAACGAGCTAGCGGTTCACCTGATGTTAAGTGATAACCGCCGCCCATGGACATTTGCAAGACCCGTAGGGTTGCAGATGCGTTGCCACCTTTCAGTAAAGTGGGCCCCGGCTACCTCACACACCAGACGAAACGCAGAAGTGAAACACTTCTACTTCACGCCGGTCTTCTGTGAGGTGGTAGTACTAGTCCGGACGGACTTGCCCATTTCTGCAACGGCGAACACTGTTGCGGTCATTACAAAACGATGACTCCGTGGCGCAGTTGCCAAGGTATTGGCTTCGGCATCGGGGGTCGTGGGTTCGAATCCCACACGGGACAGCTATTTGTGCGACCCACAGATAGTTGTTTCGCATCTGGGTGTTTGTCCTCGTGCAATTTATGTTTGTAAAACGTCCTTGCAACACAGGATAATGTTATCCTAAACAACGTTTTCAAAAAAAAAAAAAAAAACAGGATAATTTTATCCTACAATAAGGCCATTGTTTTTAAGAAAAAAGAGATTTTTTTTATGACATGTTATATAATTTTAATACACCCTTTCGCTTCCACCGTTGCGTTCCTGTCTACACGTTGTTCGGTCTACGCTAGGCGAGTGGGGTCTTCGCCCTGCTAAGGGTCTGCGTGCACCAGTAATAGGTGTTTAACGGAGCGCCAGCGCGCATAATGCTGGTATCTAGGGCTCGTCTGCTGTGTCCTAGTAACGGCTGGAACCTGCGACACTCTTTATCCACACTTTTGACGCATTCCGATCGCGCCTTGACAAATGAAACGCCATTTGTTTTTTTTTTCTATTTGATCTCGTGCGTAATCCTAGGTATCGGCACCGTGGAGGATTCACTATTCTCTTTTCCCTTTGCCGCGGATTTATGCGAGCGAATATGTAAACGTGTTAATGCATCCGTTTCATTATTCAGATATTATGGATAGTGGATATTACTTATTCCACATAATTCATAATAATATCTGGTTATGGGTTAGACCTTATTGCGGTGTTCCTTTTTTCACATACAAATATTTTTAAACGATTAAGAAATTATCTTTGGTAGGCGCACTAAGAATATCCGCCGTTACATTACAACATTAATTTTAAGAAGAAACTCACATTTTTACTTTGTTGCAAGATACATTTATAGAGGATACCGAGAATAAACGTAGTGATTACATTCTCTTTGGAGGACACTTAGAGAACAAAAATCACAAACACACATTTTCACTCGACGTGCGGGACTTTTCTATATTACCACCAATACGAATACAATTCATTCATCAACAACTGTCGTATTGAAATAGTACAGATGATCAATGTTTTTTGCCATTTATTATCGATAATTGAATTACAAAATTTTCTTAGCTTTCATATATTTGTATAACTCGTTGCTTTAGTACTAACAAGGAATAAAGTTTACTGTCACAAAATAAGACAAATATTGATAAACTTAGGTAAAGTCCTTTTCATGAAAGAAGTCCCCCAGACGCAGCGCTGTACTCGCGTGACATAGTGTTGCCATTTATGAGTAAAAATTTACCTATTTTACATTTAGCATATGTAATTTATCAAATAATATTATTTCCTGCAGACTTCGACGAAACTATTAAATTGTATTAAGAAATAAATACATTATAGATAGGCTGTAATTTCATTACTCAAGCCAATACTATAACAATAGTTCAGATTAGTGAAACATGTATATTTCTGATAAGTGAAATGTATATTTGGGCATTTTTAACAAAATATCTACCAACCCACTCATGGGATGGCTCATGCAATAAGTCCAATTAACAAACTATGTAAGTGTCGTGTTATTATTAAATAGTTTCAGTGTTCAGGTTAGAAACTAAAAACAAAGCAATAAAAGCCGACGATTTTTGGTCATGATCAGTACTGGGAAACGTGGGATGTCACATTTCCTAGTTTAAGTTTATTTAAACATAAATTTTGATAAAAATGTCCATTTACATAATTTACTATATTTCTTTTATGTAAAAAGTATATTTTTATTTACTTTTATAAGCGGTGTTCTACCTACTTACAGGGAAAAGATGAGAAAATAGGGTAAAGCAAAGCATTATAATTTTTTATTCAGAGTTTTATTGAATAATTGTCATCAGTGGCCATAGGAACATCACTGTCTGAAGAGTGGATGGAAACTGAATCAGATTCTGTTTCAGTATCACTAGCCGTAGATATAATTATTCGGTCCATCTCTTCATCCATAAGGCCGTCATTTTTTAAATATTCCTCCTCTAAATGTTCGACATGCGTGCACTGAGCTGTCCAATCTTCCGCCGTAATAGACTCAAATGTCTCTACAGTTAATTTTACAATTTCTTTTGGATCTTGTGCCACATTCTTATCCGCCACCTTTCTTTTTACAAGGCTCCAGATTTCCTCCACCGGGTTTAGGTCGCAATGGTAAGGCGGCAACCTTAATACTTCGTGTCCGTGAGCTGTTAATAATTCTTCCACTGCAAATGTCGGTGGACCTATATTTTGTTTGATTAGCTCAAACAGCACAGCTTTTCTCCAGGTGTCTTCAAAATATATACCCTTTTGCCGGAGCCATTCCTGCTGCATACTTTTTATATTTGACATTGAAGGGAAAGCCCCTTTTGAGCGTTGTCCATTACCACAAGCGACCTTTCAGGTAGATTAGGTATTAATTTTTCCGTCACCCATTTTAAGAAATTTGCAGAGTTCATGTCATCGTGGTAATCTGAGGACTTTGATTGGGATTTAACCATTAATAATGCACCATTTATTAATCCATCTTTTGTTCCCGCATGAGCGATTATCCAGCGACTCCCTGATGACTCTGAGACGAACATTCCTGGCTCCTCCTCACTCTGCCAACAACTTTTTGTATGATAAGTATTGTGTATATAGGTCTCATCTAAGTATACAACGGGTCGTTTTTCCACAGTGCGATTTATTCGTATTTTATCATTTGGATATCTTGCACGCCATGCGGTAATGTCGTGACGTTCCATAAGTAGTATGCGTCTGGATTGACATCGCTTGTACTTGAAACCAATCCTATTTAATATCCTGTGCAATGTTGTGATGCTTCCCTGAAAATTGATGTCTTCTCTAAGAGCTGCTCGTAATTTAGCCAAAGTTGGTAATTCTTTATGCACAACGTAAAAACTGTGAATTTTTTTGCCGGATAGCGCACAAATCGAACCCGTCTAAGTCGAACTTTTTCGGATGCGGGCGACTCTTCCCCGGGGTGACAATTTTTTTCGAAGTACTCGCCGCTGTTATACCTTCTTTTGTAATTTTTGTTATAGTTTTCTCTGACACACCTGCAATTAAAGAATGAACAATTAAAAATAATAGTCACTTTAAGTTTATAATGCTTATGTACTATGTAATATACGTTTTAATTTCGGTTACCTAATTTCATCACGTTATGTATTTGTTCAATTTTGTCGCAAAACGAATTTATATCATAAAAGTCCCATCAATACAGCAAAAAATTATTATATGGCAAGTACCTGTTATGGCGGCGACTCTCTTCCGAACATTGTTGTGGTATTAAAACACCTTGATTCTTTTGTTCAGCTTCACAGAATTCTTTCACCTTCAATATCATTTCTCGAGCCGAACTTTTTACAACTTTTGGCATTGTAAACAATCTTTAAAATGCACTAAGCTAGTTTAAAACTCACAAAAATCTACCACAACAAACGAACTTGATAACATCGACGAACGACAACATGGCCGACCTGTCAAATTTAGTTCCAAAAATCACCGCGGGACTTCTTTCATGAAAAGGACTCTACTTCAAATTGATTGGTCAGGTTTGACATGTGTCATACGACCATATTTGTCAAACACATGAATTTCTAAGTATTTCAAATGTGAAAAAGAACTATTGTGTACAAACTTTTTTATGAAAAGGTGCGTACTGATCTTCTCTTTATGGTTCTGTGAACGATGATATTTGGACGTTACTATATCCAAGTGCAATTACCACCTATTACCACCGCTCTACGTCAGGCTGACGATAGATACTCCTGGTGGAAACTAGTAGACACGACCACCCTTGCCTACCGTACAACAGGACCGTAGTTAGACACGACCTTCATAAATGAAGAGTGCAACGAAGAAGAGTGTCCAAGAATAACACCTGCTCTAGAGCATTATGGCATTTTAAATAGCGATCTTTTTCCGGCTTAGTTTGGGCGGACAAATAGCTCAAATCTGAGTTTATACATCGAAAGTTGTCATCATCATCTTCTTCATCCTTTCAGTCTGTTAGAGTCATTGGCAGAACACGATCTCCGCCACAGACTGCCACGATGGACAATCCTCAATCACCTGCATCCATCGACTTACATATTTGTCATGAGATTTCGACACATTTTGTTTATCATCCAAGTTTTAATGATTTGTTAGTTTGTATGAAACTTTATGCAGATATTATTAATTAGTATGATTTAAATGTACAATAGATTCACACGATTATTTCGCCTTTAAATCTGGCAACATTCGTTCTAAAAGCTTGGTATAAACGTTTTATAAATCGGTTATTAAAAGAAGCGTCAGTTTGGTGCGTTTTTTTTCTATTTAACGACGATAAAATCATTAATAGATAATCGTCAAAAGTTTTTCAAAAACGTAACAAACACTTATGCAATTTTTAGGGTTATTTTCGAGATAAATTTATTTTTTCTAATTACGAAAGAATAATAATACATCAATGACTCGTTGAAATTGTTAATATTTAATAATTGATTTCACATCATCTTCTTATATACTACAATACAAAATTAAACGTGTGTAACGAGTTGAGTACACTATTACAAATAAATATATTCTCCTTCAATGCACCGACACCGAATTTACGCGCGCTTCGGCTAACTTCGTCGGGATTCGTTGTCGCGTCGCAAGCGCCATCGTAGTATAGTGCCCGCCCCGGCCATATTACATTATTGTCTACCTACGCCGTATGTAGTTAAAAAACGGTCGCAAAAATCAAATTGTTCATGTAAACGTTCATTAAATTTGTGAAATAAGTCTTCGTGTTTACCTTTAACCCTAAACCTTCTAACCTTCTTATGCTAAGAACCATTACACGTGTATAATAATTAATTCTAAATGTTTTATAAGCACTCCGAACGATAATAACAGCATTTATATCATATCCATAACTACAAAAATATTTTTGCGTATTCCTTTTCTTAAAAATAGCTCATGGAAGGCGCTTGTTGACGATGACGCGAGTTTCACGCTTTTTGTTCACCCAAAAAGTGCTCCATACGCCTTAACATTGAAAAAGATTTTACTTTAATAACGTAATTACGTTTCACATTTTTCCTGCCGCAATAACTTAGTTTAAACACTTTGTTGCATATCTATTATTATCATTACAAAAGCTGTTTCAGGAAATAGCTTTTGTAACGATAATAATTATTGAGGGATTGGATATGCAACCACGATACAACAAACAATTTATCTAGAGTTGTAATTTAACTTGGCGTTAGTACTATATAACGTCATTAAGCCTGTGGTTTTATCCTTTTCAGAATAATCGCTATGTAAGCAAAACATTATTTTAAAATGAATAATCCGAATGTAATTTGAATGTCTTAATATTAATAATGGAATCTTTATGTCAACGTTTTTCTGTATAAACAATGCAATTATACACAGCGCATTAAATGTATAGGCACTTCATTGTCTTATGTTTGATGTCTGATTTTTTCTAGTTATCGTTTTTCGTTATGTTAGTTAAATGAATAATTTGACATTTCATCGTTTAATTTGTTCAAGTTCTGTGTTTCTCTTTGCGAATGTGGATTAGAGGGAAACACAGATCATATACTTTTTAACTGTCCAAAGTTTTCTTCCTCGTTGTATGATTTTATTCCTTCCCATATTCCCCGTCCTATAAATTTTAATTCTCTTTTAACTTTCACAACTTCCTCTTTTGTGTAGGTTTTGTGTGATTTTATTACTTCAAATAATATTAAGCTGTAATTGCTTGTCTTTACTAATCTGGTTTTACACCGGTGTGTCTTTTGTTTTAGGTGAGTCAGCAGACACTGCCATAATAATAGCTACTTAATAAGTCATTGTATTTTCACACTGCTATGTCATTCAGAGTTAATATAATTTCAACTAAGCTTGGTTTAATATTTTGAAATATAACTAACTGTGTTTGAGAGTTAACAGTGTTCATTGGCGTATCATTGAAAACCGCCAAAAAAAGTTCTGTGTTAAGTTTGTTCTCGTGTTTTTTAGTAATTAAGGAAAATCTGTAGGTACATACGATGTCAATCAATCTGTACATACATATATCAATTTTCATTACTATTATGAAATACTAGTATATATATATATATATATATATATATATATATTATGAACACGTACAACTGTCAAAAGAAGCAATGTTGTTCACATACAACAAAAGGTAATAAAAATGTTTTGATGACATGTAACGTCTGCAGATCCGCAGTGGGGTCGCGTGGTGAGCTGTGCGCTAATATCCTCTCTACAGAAGAAGCCTTACCCAGTAGTGGGAAATATATAGGACGTTCTTTATTTTTATTTTACTTTGAACGAGGGAACGGCTCCGCTGATGTTAGTCAATGGAAATCATTGCTGATTTTTAAGGATTCTGAGGAATTTATCATCCTTCTTTTATCAAGAGAAGAGTCACTGATTTCACAGAATGACAATTCAACAATGAGTAATACGAAAAGGCGTGAGAAATACGAGTTAGGAAAAGTGCTAACTGAATTCGTAACTCAGTTAGTACTTTTCTTATTTATGCTAAGCCCGGTAGAAAGTAGATTCGCTACCTAACATTACTGAACTGAAGCTGCTTGTAATATAAATGTGAACAGTTAAAGAGAAAAGTATCCCATTCAAGGCTCATGTAAATACGTCTCTGACGTGATTTTAATATCATGGCGGTGCGCAACCCATAGAGGAACACTTAAATTCCCTTCGCCCGCATGAAAAAGTGGAGCAAAAGTAACTTTTGCCCCTGTTATGTACAGGGAGTTATTCAAATATTTCGTGTTAAAATGGTTTCATGTTGGGCCTATTTCACGCACTGTAGCGCCTCTTTCAGACGTTGGAAATGAAAGAATGGCGGATGAAATATTGTGAGTGGAAAGCATCTGCCGGTCCTTATTACAGTTCTTTGAATGTTTAGAATCGCGTTCGCTGAAAGTATGAGTGTTCGTAGCTCACGGCGTGCGCACTTTGCGAGTTCTATTTTATTGTAAGTGATAAAACTAGAGTGCGTTAAACTAAAATGTATCTTTGTATCGTCGTCGCGAAGGCTTTTAATATTACATGTTGTTGTTCTGAAAACAGTGTTTTGTATATAATTAAATAACAGGTTGAATATCATCTGTCTTGTATCAATAGCAACACGATCGGGGGAAGTACCGGTCTCACAGGAGACAGGCTTGAAGTAAAAGTATCCGTTCTATTTCATTTAAAAAGACGTATGAAGTAAACAGGGGTCTACAATCAGTGGCATCGCTCTCTGTTGTTTTAAGCATCTGTGGGCGGGGGTTCGCAATTACTTTCAGATTCTTATCTCATTTGAAATC